TCTTAACAATTGTACCTTTTTTTTTTTTTCTTCTTCTTATTTTCCCTATTTCTATTTTTGAATAATTTCATATCCAAATCCACTAGTTATGGATATAGATTATGGATTTTTTTGTTGTTGGATTATATACATATTTAATGTGTGTTAATCCAACATGTGATATATTCAACAAAATAAGTATAATATATAAATTTGAAAATTCATTGACCCTGAAATTTACTTTTTAATGTTAGATTATACATACTCGGCCACACAGTAATATATGTTGATCCAACATATTATAAACGATTCGACAAAATGAATATAATGTGTAGGAATATATAAATTTCAGAATTTATATTGACCCTAAAAATTACTTTTTTTTTTGTCGTTGGATTACACACACTGCAACACTAATGTCTGTTGAACCAACATAGGATATACGATGCAATAAGATGAGTAAAATATGTCGAATATATAATTTTCAATATTCATTGACCCTAAAACTTGAATCGGATTAGGGCGCCAATTTGATTAAGATTGTCGTGCCCTGCATCATGTCGTATATTATATTTCATACAAATATAATTAACAATATTATTTTGTTAAGAAAAAATATATATATTTTATTCAGTGTATAACTTGATTTCAAATTTAGTGCCATTAAATTTTCTAAAAGAAATTTGAGGTGGAGTAATTGAAGTGTTGAATAATTCATGGTAGATTTGATCTAGTGATAGATGTTTTGGGCCCAAAAAATAACTTTAATCTGTGGTCAGATAAGCTTTGGGCTTGCAGAATTTCATGTGCTGCAGTGCTGCTCTACTGGCATTGGGTTGTTTTTGTACTTCTTCATTTTTCATTTATTTTTATTGTTTTTTTGCCTTAATAAAGATTCTCATTTTTTTATTTTTTTTTTGTTTTGTTAGAAATTTCAATTTAATCCAACCAAGTTGATTTCAATATGTAGATTTTTTTTTTTTGCCTTATTTAAATTATTTCAAATATGTTATTAGAATTTTCAATTTCAATATATTTATTTGAAAAGTCATTGAGTCGACCGAGTAGCATAATGAACCAGAAATGCTATGGAGCCATTAGATGGTTCTTTTATGGAGTCATCCATATTCTATGTATTGACACGCGTCCAATGTGTATTTATTGCAAGACACGTGTCAATATATCATTTACGGATAACTATGGAGCAAGTCGAGCCATCCGATGGCTCCATAACAAAACCACATAATGAACTTTTGGCTCTACTTGAGAAAATGACAATGAATGTAACAACCCCCACCTAATTAAAAAATTGAGAAATATTATTTACATGATATTTTATTATTTGTAATTTCAAAAAGAGAATCATTTTTAGATGCATAAAACAAAGTACTTTTTGACTAGAGAGAGCTAAATCTACTAAAACAGTACACTCTAAAGGAGGAGAAAAAAAACAAGATATATACTCCTCTTATCTTCAATGTCAAAGTAGTCTTTGTGCATGAAAGTAAACTTTTTTTTTTTTTTTTTTTTTGGTACAATAAAGGAGGACAAAGCCTAGGAATACTTTAAGTTACTATGTGCCGGAGATGCGAAACACCGGCCAGATCATGCTGAAGCCAATACCCAATCCCATCCGGCGGTCGATCAAATCTATGTATGCCCACAGGCCCCCTTGCCGCCAAAGACGCGAGGTAATCCGCAACACAATTCGTTTCACGATAGCCATGACAAATATCCGCCGTCCATGGCCGATCTAACAGGTCCTGTATCCCACGCAGAATATTCCCATGCGGGCTAGAAGTGTCCTCCGCTTGGACCATCGAAATAATACTCCGATTATCAACGTCCACCACAATGTGGCGGGCCCCT